AAGTCTACACTTGAGATGCCTAAGTAAAGATTGAGTGCAAACATTGATAATGTTCAAACAAACTAACAAAGAGAGGAAAAGGCAACTAAAATAATTCAACTTAATAAATAGTCTTGTATTATAGAAATGAAATTATGTAATGCTTCTACCGATAAGACATGAATAAACTTGATTTCCATATACTTATTAACTACACTTCATATGAATCATTCATAAGATAAGCACCATCACACTCTCAAATCCATAAAAACATATTCAGAAACTTTAGCAGCTAAATAATTGGGCTAAGCCTTCAACATTCAGTAAAAATTAGATGACTTACACAATAACAAGTGTTTAAAAATGTATGCAACTGAAGAATAGGACACGTTAAGCACTTACATCTTACGACTGGCCAAAGACCGACTAAGATCACCTATTGCATCTTGGGCGTTGGTTTCATTACCTAGTGAGGCAAGCTTTACAATCTAATGTCGCTCCAGATCCAAATCAGACACCCAGTAATAAAAAAATGAACCGGTAAGCAATGCACCATCATAATCAAAACCTAGGCCAGGTAATGAAAAAATTCATGCAAACACAGTTTGAGCACTGTAAGCTCCTTTGCCAAAGCCATGTTCCCTTTTTCTAGCCTTGAGCACTCCAATTTTAATTTGCTAAGTTCCTAGATCACAATTAACTAACAATTAATTCAAGCTTCTATCAATCGAAAAAAAAAGAAAAATACAGACTCCAAGAAATAACAAGGGGAATAACCTAGAACCCTGGGATACATAATTGCATGACAATCACCTCAAATTTTGAATCAAGCTTCTGCTGAATGGATGCCTTTTCTCTCAATGCCAGTTCCTTCTTGTTCTGCTCCTTGCAAACACAATCCAAATTTTAATGCTCATCTCACCTAACTGAACGCCATTATCTTAAATAAAATTCAGGCCTAACATTTTAATCTCAGCAAAGAAATTTTGCAATCATAATAGAATTAATATTTATCCTACCGAATTCTTTTTCTAGGATTCCATCTTTTCACAACTCCATACAAGAGAATCGATTAATACCACAAGCTACCCTGCTTGGCCGTCCACCACCTAAATCAGCCCTATGACTTTCACCTCCAATCTCTTCACTTCGCCATGCAAGACCTCGCCATTTTCTTCCAGATCCAGCGGCTTCAATGAAACTGAACAACATTAATCCGCCGCCGACTGAAAATAAAGACGACCGCTATTACTCGCCACACACTTTTGTTTGTAGAGCTCAAACGGTACTCGAACCACTGCTATATGCTAGGGTTTCAAACATCAGATATATCAAATTCAAACACATTCCTTGCGCGAATGTACAAATACATTTATATACCTAAATAATGTACTGACCAGAGCTCGTGGAAGACATGACCAAAGATGGAGGATGGATCGGAGATCCTCGACGATTGGCATGAGATCTTAATTAGTAACAGATTGAAAAAACGGTTTAGCCGAAATTGTTGCCGCCGACTATCCCTCTTGATCGACGATGGTCTTCACCTTCGGTATTTCCTTATCTTTCCGATTGCCGCTCGCTTGCGCTTTTTTGCTTGGGTTGGGAAAAATGGAGGTAGAGAGATTTGAAAGAACAGAAATGGCGGCTAGAGGAGGGAAATGCATTTGGCACCAAAACCATTTATAAAATCAAAAAATTATTTTCCAAATCCATTCAAAATTCCAAATACTGTAATTATTAAAATTTTTTAAAGAAATTTTTTATATTTATTTATCAATAATAATAATTTAATAATTTCAGTATCTAAATGAGATATTAAAATTGCAATCCAACTTAAAAACATAAAACTCTTATAATAAATATAATAAATGCTTTTTTTTTCTTTTTTTTTGCATTCAACATTAAATGAATGCTTAAGAAAACGAATTTTACAGAAGGCTGGTTTAATAAATAAATGAATTTGATTATCTATATTGTTTACTGAAATTCAATTTATAAATAAATCATGAGTAGATAATGATTTATAAATATTTTAATAATCAATGATTTGCACAGCTTGTGGTGAAATAAATTAATTTTTTTCCTATTCTAATTTATAATTTTAATTGAAAATAATAAACAATACATTTTTGTTAATGAATTAAATAACTTAAAAATTTTTGAATTTTAAATTTAAATTACATAACAAATAAGATAATATAAATTAAAAAATGTAAAAAAATTGCTAATACAATTCAAAATTTTTTTAAAAAAAGTACATTTATTTTTTATTTATTAAAAGATTTTTTATAAATGAAAGTAACAAAAAAATAGGCTCTTTTTTTTAATGAAATGTAATGGATCACTCAATGTGGTCCTGTTAAGTTGTATGTCTATCAACAAATAATATCAGAGCCAATGACATAATACAGTCATTGGTAATTTTGGTTTTGAGCCAAGCTTAGCAAAGTAAGAGTTATATAAACTCATGATGAATATGTCCATGGATGATGTTGTGCCCATGACAAATATACCCATGGACCATGTCATGAATTCTCACTGGGTTTTACAACTCACAAGTGAAAGGGGGAGTGTTGAAGGATATTTCCCTCATGAGTATAAAGAACAAGATCTCACATCGAAGAAATATGGAAGAAAAGAATGGTTTAAATATGTGAAGATTCATGTAACTAATAAACTAGTTTTTTGATTTCAATGTAGTATCAAAACATGTAATTGACCACTAAATGTGAAAACATCATAAGGGTTGTGTTTGACTCTTGTTTGAGCTTATTCTGAGGAATTTCATAGACGACTAAACTAATTGTCAAGCAAAATAGTAAAGTGCACGTCTGTTATTGATCATTTTTTTTCTTTTTTCCTTTTTTTTTTTTTTGGTAGACTAGAATAGAAACTTTTGTTTTTATTTTTTTTAATATTAATATAAAAAATTATGATATTTCTAGAGTTTCAATCTAGCTTATTAACAATAAATGCAATGGCGATTCTATTTCTATCATAATGTTCTTTTGATTTGTTTTG